GTCAGGGCTGAGGTGGGCACGTGCTGTCCCTGGGGATCCTTGGTCTTGCACCGTGGGGGGGGCACAGAGAGAGAGAGCGACAGAGAGAGGGGCATTGGCTGTAGGGGATCCCAGCCTGGCACCACGGGGGTTGGACTGAGTGTGTGGAAGCTTCTTCTGGCGTTGCAGGGGGACAGGGACAGATGAACGCTGTAGGTGATCTCGGCCTGATAACGTAGAGGGAAAAGTGCTGGAGTGTCTGTCCTGAGAAGGAACAGAGCTGTTTTCCTGGTGCTGTGGAAGCAAGGGAACAGACTGCTCTTGGTCCTGTGGGACTCCTGAGCTTGGAGCAGGGAGCCTGGGCCTCCAGACCCCTTCCCAACCCGTTTTCAGGTGGCCCACATGCCAGGCTGGCCAGGCATTTGTAAGCTCTTGCTCCTCAGTCCTAGTCACTCTTCTCTGAATTCTGCTTGACTGCCTATCTTCTCTAACTTCTAGCTGGACACAGGAGCTGGGCAGAGCTCTCTTTGTCCAGCTAGAACAGCATCTGGAGGCAACATCATCCCCTTCCCTGCTCTCCTGAGTGGCTGTGAGATCTGATCGCAGCATCAGGCCCTGGTGGTCTGTCCTGCCCGCCTGCTCACTGCCTCCCATTTGTGCTCTTCCTCCTCAACAGTATCCACACCGGGGACCGGCCCTACAAATGCGCTCATCCTGGGTGTGAAAAGGCTTTCACCCAGCTTTCCAACCTGCAGGTAAGGAGCTGGGCTTGTCCTGCTCACCAGTGGGGGCGGCAAGGATGGCTGTCAAGTGGGAGGAGAGGCTCCTTGCCTGTGGTGGAGATGGAGAAATTTGGGCAGCTGAGAGGAGAGTGAAGGAATACAGAAAAGCTGTTGAAGCCCTGGACAGGGGAAAGACTCCTGGCTTCTGTGGAACTAGCGACCCAAAGGAGTTGCATAAACAGTTTCATCCTGTGAAATTGTAAGCTTGGCTCAAAAGTGGTGGGACCTTGGTCAAGTTCCTTCCATCTGTTCTGCAGAGTTTCCTAGCTTAGCTGGGGCAAGACTTTTGCTAAATGTCACACAGAATAAGATCTGGGTATCTGATATTTTTGTTTGTTTGTTTTACGATGAAATGGAGTATATAAGAGTAGGGATTTAGGAGGCAGAGGTGGTGAGTCCTGTTGCGGTGTCCTGGAGGAGGGGAACTGTAGAGTCTGCCAAATGGCAAAGAGCTGTAAATGGCTGCAAGCAGTTAAAGGAGGTCCTGCCCTGAAGGGCAGTGACAGATGCAGGGAGCAAGTGTGTAGTAAGGCAGAATAGGAGAGGAAAAGACTGAGAAGGAGTTGGGTGGAGACTTAGAAGATGGGGGTTGTGGAGAGTTAGGAGACTCTGCCCTTCAAATGCCTAGTGTGCCTGAGAAAAAAGGGCATCTGCAGGGAAGGTGCGGTGGGCTGGAGGGAGAAGCTGTCCCCCACGCTAGGAGCCAGGTGTACCTCCCTCAGCAGATGGGTGCCTAGGGAGCTTGGGGCCTGGCTGGAAGGGAGGGAAAGCCTTCTCCTGTATTAATACTTGCTTCCTTCCCTGCTCTTGCTTTCTCCTTCCGCCGCCCCCCAGTCCCACAGACGGCAGCACAACAAAGACAAACCTTTCAAGTGCCACAACTGCCACCGTGCGTACACTGACGCTGCCTCGTTGGAGGTCCACCTGGCTACGCACACGGTGAAACACGCCAAGGTCTACACCTGCTCCATCTGCAGCCGGGCCTACACCTCGGTGAGTGTTTGCTGCCCTGGGGGGTAGCCGAAGGGGGCACTCATCCCAGGGAGCAGCTCCTCCGGGTCCAACGGCAGCAGCCCCTCGAGCTGTCGTGTCCCTCCTTGTTGGCTTGGGTTTTTGCGAACGTCATGCCCTCCTCTCATGCCGTTCTTCCATTGCAGGAGACGTACCTGATGAAGCACATGCGGAAACACAACATCCCTGACCCACAGCAGCAGGTGGTTCAGGCGCAAGCCCAGGCTTCGCAGCAGCAGCAGCAGCACTTCCAGCAGCAGGGTGGGGGGGCAGCAGGGGGCCCTTCCGGAGACACTAACCAACCCAACCCTCCCCCCCAGTGCTCCTTTGACCTGACTCCTTACAAGACTTCAGAGCATCACAAGGACATCTGCCTCACTGTCAGCACCAGCGCCATCCAAGTGGAGCACCTCTCCAGCTCCTAGAGAGACCTCAACCCAGGGAGCAGAAAGCCTCTTGTGCATAGCCTGCGCCCAGGGGCACCGCTTGTGCAGCGGCCCTCCTCGTGCAACAGTCTCCGGCCTCTCCTCCTGCAACAGCCTCTTCTGGCCGTGTAACCCTGTTCATGGCAGCCCCCTGAACACCAACCCGTCTCAAGGGGGGGCGCCTTCTGTGCAACAGCCTGCCTGGTAGGAGGATGCTTCCTTGTGCAAGAGCCCCTTTCCTGTGCTGGGATCACTTCCTCATGCAAGAGCCCCTCCTTTCAAACCCAAAGAAAGGCCCCGTTTTGCCTTCTCTCTCACTGTAGGATGCGTAGAAGGGGGGGCGCGTGTTGAGACGTGCATGGTGGATGGGATGGAGAGATGGTCCTTGTACGTACAGGGGCTTGGACACATGTTTTCAGCAGGCCACAGAAGAATGTGGCAGGGTTCACAGCTGGATGGGGTTCTTTGAGGATTTCCTTGAGTGTCTAAGAGAGAAATATCCATTCCTGTCCCTCCTGCTTGTGAAAGGGAGGAGGGGTCGCTCGTCCTGCCCCAAGGACTGGATGGGAGAAACCTCCTTCTCCCCAGTGGAAGGTGAGACCAGTGCTGGGGAGGGAGAGATGAGGCATGTTCTCTGGGCTGGAGACGTGCCTGCGCTGCCTGAGGGCTGTGGAGTATTGCACTCTTTCTCCTCTGCTGGTGGAGAGCAGTAGAGAGGAATCTGTCTGAACTGGCTGCTGCCTGCCTCTCCCAGCTGGCTGAGCAGCACGATGGCCAAGGCCCCGTAGGAATATGGGTTCCTGCTCATTGCTCTTCCTGCCCATTGTGGATGATGTCCTAGCAGCTTGTACTCCTCCTCTCCCTCCTGCTTCCCCCCCACCTCCTCAGAAAAGCCTGCAGGCATCAACAACAAACCAAAAAGCAACCGGAGGGAGGGTAAGAGACTGCCAAAATAATCATCACCCTTCTCTCTACTCCCTTTCCTGAAAGGCGGAACAACAGCAGTTCTGACTCTCACATGCCTGTTCTGCCCCCAGTTCCCCAAAGGGAAGGAGGAGGAGGAGGAATAGACCAGTCTTTTCAAGGAGCCGGCAGGAGGCAGGGAAAGGCTAGCTTCTCCTGCTCACCTCCTGTCAGAGCGTTCTCCCAGGCTCCCTCTTGCCAAGACGGGCTGGACTCACATGGCAGTGGTGGCCTCTTCTGGACACTGGTCATGGGAGAGAATCCCCAAAAGGTGGACAGTGGAGAGAAGGGGATGTCGATCCCCGCAGAGAGACCAATCTAATGAGAAGGGGGAAACAACAAGAATAAACTGAAGGCCCCTTGAATTTATATATATATATATATATAAATATCTATTCCTGGCTTACCTTCTTTTCATAATTTCTTTACCATGATCTGAATTGTTTAATAGACTCTGATACAGTTTTTAACTCTTACCAATGTCGTTCCTGTGCAGCCAAAAATGACAAGGTATTCCTAATGTAAATTGTACTTCATTGTTCTATTTTTATATTTGCAATAGGGGCTGCTTTTTTTTTTTTTAAGCCACCTTGTATAGAAATAAATTGGTGTAAAAGGCTCCTTGGAGGTGCTGCTGCGAGCACCCTGCCCCTGTGACGTGTGTTCCTTCCCCCTGCACTAGACCATTGCACGAGCATCTTGCTGCTGCGAGGCCTGAGCGGCTGTGTGGGTGGGTGTGAGGGCAGCCCATCCCTGCCTTTGGGCAGCGGTTTGCACAAGGAGAGCGAGGAGCTCTGCCCTCTGTGCTCTGCGCCTGCGGAGCTTGTGGCAGAAACCTTTTCCTCTGCATTTAGTCACCAGGGTTGGCTGCAAATGGTTGGAGTGTTTTGTAGATCCATAGTTAGGCTAGAATTCGCTGTCTGATTTGATTCCTGCGTTTCACAGGTGATGTCTCAACCCACTTACGCTGTATTGAGCCCCAAGAACTAACGTGTATTTGAAGTATGTGTTGACAAAATGCATTGGCTTGATTCTGAGACGCTGGGACATAGAGAATCCCTTCCATTGGCAGCCTGCTGCAAGGGCTTTGTGTTCACGCTGTTTAAATATTTAAGCCCAGTTTCTCCTTTGGATCTGTTTGGCTTTGGCTTCCAGTAACTAGTTCTGGATATATCCATCCCACTGATTCAGAGAACCTTGGAGCACACTGGGGATTTTTCCCCTGGACTGGTATTTAAACACTGCAGTGTCACTTCTTAATCCACTTTTTGACAAGCTAAATAGATGGAACCGCTCCTTAAATCTTCTACTGTAAGGGATTTCCTGCAGCCCATGAATTATTCTTGTCTTTTCTTTCTACATCTTGTCAAATTTTTCCGTAGCGTGTGCAAGTGTTCATTTCAGAATTGAGTGTTCAAGCCCCAGTGCCATGGACAAGGTCCCTCTGCCCTTTGCCTTAAGTCTGCAGAGGATTGCGTTTGCCCTCTTCTCGCAGCGTTACACGGGAGCTCACATTGGCTGCTTGCCTGGTGTGACCCCTAGATCATCCGCAGTCTCGGCTTTCGGTGATAGCGTTTCCCCCTTTCTACAGGTATGGTCTGAGTTCGTACTTCATAGATACTTAACGTGAGGCTGTGTCCAAGTCTGGTTTGTGTGAATGGACCTGGCTTACTGATGGTCCAGGTTACTCGCTGTTTTCCCAGTTGTGTCACCCACAAACTGTGTCAGTTATTATTTTTTACTGTTTGATCCAGGTTGAAAATGCTATATTGCATGACCTACACTAACTTGAAAAGCATCATTCAGTGCAACTTTTTATTAGCTTCTTTTTGAGACTTGCAGGCTAGGCATTTCTTAATCCTCTTAGTAGGTGATTATGTACAGTAAATCTTTTTGACTTATGGTGCTAGGTCAATGCCTTACAAAAATTTAAGTATGTTGCACCTATGCAGTCCCCTTTGTTAAACCAAATGTATAATGATGTCATCTAAGAATGAAATTAGGGTTTGGGGTTTTTCTTTTTTTTCTACAAAATCTGTATTTCATAAAACCTTTGGATTATAGGTTTTATTTTTCATTCATTAATTTTTCATCTCAACAGCTTTTCCGTAATTTTGACATTGAGTCATTTTATTCGCCTTTTGGGAATACTGTCATGAATGTCTTAAGGTATTTCTCTAATATCCCAAGTTTAATTAAAATTGCAATCAATGGGCTAGAGAGCTTGTTAGTGAACTCTTAGGATTCCTGTTTCTTTGCTGACTTAAAAATATACATCCCTAGCAGCTGTTGTCTAATCTCCTACGTGGATACTAAGGTACTGAATAGAAGTTGCTATTTTTGTACGGTTGCCACATCCCGTTTCTTTCTGAATACAGAACTGGAAGTATTTGTTGACTAATTTCCCCTGTTCTGAGCCAGTAGAATTTTCACCATTTTCATCTAGCATGGATCAGTACTATTAGCAAGATTTCTTGTTTATTTTTTATTTAAAGAAAGAAATGAAAGATCCCAAATCCCTTTCCTATTACCAGTAGTTTTGCTAGCCACAAAGCTTTCCATACCAGTTTTCTCTATTTTATAATGTCTAATTTATGTCAGTTGCTGTCTGGCCTTTCCCTTCTCTGTGTGTTATGTTTCAGGTTTTTTTTAATTGTTTCTTCTTGCTCACGGACTTTCTCACTGAACCCAGGATGAGCTTTTACCAAAAGTTTTCCTCTTTCTTGATTGTGGAATTAGGGCTTTTTTTGGCCACATAATAAATTTTTCTTACAGAAGAATTTTATTCACCCTTTTCTGCCTTATTTCTTTTTTCTCTCGTGGATAATTCAGTTTATAATTTTGCTGACCTTGGGAATTAGCACAGACTCAGCACACGTTTATTACTGCTTGTGGCTCTCCTCTGCGTGAACAGGACAAAATTGCCAGTTTCATAAAATGGCTTAGGTTGGAAGGCACCTTTAAAGGTCATCTAGTCCAAGCCCCCTGCAATGAGCAGGGACGTCTTCAGCTACATCACGTTGCTCAGAGACCTGCTCAAGTTATTATCTTGTCTCATCACCTTGAGGTCTGAAAAATTGACTTGTTTTGGGTGCAGTGTCTTGTATTAAGCAAGGTACAGTTTTAAAAGTTGGGAAGATGTTTTGCGAGCTGGTTGCATTCCCTGGGGAATATCTCACAAGTTAAAATTCCTTGCAGTGGTTTTTCATTTTATATGTTCAAGGTGCTTGAAATCGCCTTTCCTGGTCCCTGGTTTGATGTGTTGTTTTCTAATGTCTGCTGTCCTTCCCCTTCTTGGAACCTGTTACCTAGCGTGGGGATCCATGTGTATTTAAGGCTGTACAATTCCTGTGTTATCAGTTATTTCAAAGGTATTATTGCTTGTGTTTGTGCAGTTTGCCACCGCTCCTATAGCTTTTACTGTCACCCAGGAAGAAACTAATGATTTTTTTACTAAGGCACTTTCCCATCAAGTTTCAGAAATGCCACTTTATTCCAGGTCTCTCTTTTATCTCATCAATGAGAATTTCTTATTTCTCTGTTTCCGCAGAGTCCTGTTGGTAATGTAGAAATAACTGAAGATACCTTACACTCATTATCTTTGTCACTTATTTGAGTTTGCATTAGGTCTTCCTCTTCAGATTCTTGAGGCTGTTTAACATATTCAAGGTGCTTCAGGTGGTTTAAAAAGTATAGTTGGTACCTGTGGGATGCAAAATGTAACAGCTATACAAAATTCTTCCCTCTTGAGATGAAGCCTCAGGTTCCACAGTCTGCAGCTCTTCAGCTTTGTGCACTCAGGCCAACAACGGTTCAGTTGTTTATCTCCCACTCACAAGAGTGGAAGACTCTCTAACAGGTTCCAATGGTCCTTCCTCTTCAGCTCCCTGAATTCTTTGACCCTGCATTGTCTTTGTGGCGCCAATCCATTTGTTTCTGTACGTCTGTACCCAGGAAGACTTGACAATGACTCTGGAGTTCTGTGTTGGGTTGCATCTTGTATCTTTGCTGGAAGGCAGCAGCACTTTTTCTTCCAGTTCTTCACAGAATCGGTTCGTAGCTGGATCTTGCAAATTATTGTTGCTTTAAAAGAACTTTTTCTTCTAGTTCTTCACAGATTCGGTTGTCTGTTCATAGCGGGATCTTGCAAATTATTGTTGCTTTAAAAGGAAACATCACGTAGGCTGGAAATAATTTCAAAAAGTCACCCACAAACAGTAACTGAATCTCAGCCATGACTAATGATAGTATTGCCGGTCTATAATTCAGTTAAATCTTCAAGAAAGGTTTAAGACTTTCATAATTTAAAGTCTTGTGGTTAATCAGCCATGACCCTTATTAGAGTTTTTTTGTTGGTTATCACTGCCGTTAAAACTGCCATTCTATTTTACCCTTTTTTGTTTTTAATCCATATGGTCTTGTTATGACTTTGTTCAGTACATTAAAGTCTTCTGCTTTAAGAAGTCTTTTTTCTTCTGTAATGAATTACAGACCATGACCAAGTCAGTGTATTCATCTTTCCAAACAGCTACATTAAATTGAGCTGGTTTAGGTGTCTCACAATTAGGCTTGGCTCCATCACGTAGTACTTTTCTGTTGCCTTTCTTTTTTCTTTACGAATGACCAGGCTGTGTAGTGCTTAGTTTTATAAGCCTTGGTACGTTAGGCCTAGATAATTGTCTTGAGCCACCAAATTTACTTTGCCATAAACCGATACATAGTTCTTTTAATGAGATCTTTTTCTTTAAATTAAAACAAATAGCATTACATTTCTTTTCTTAGCTGAGTGCACCCTTATCCATTACACTGTGATTTTGCCGAATCAGTGTTAGGTTAACTGGCTTACACCAACCTGGATGATCCCATTTGCTTTTCAAATACTTTTTAAGTAAAAGTATTTGCTGGTCTTCTGGAACACGTTGAGAGCTCCAAAATTGTTTGGAAAAGAAAGCGCGTTGCTTCCATCTGCTTGCCAGATAATTCTTTTAAAATTATTGATTGTGAGTTTCTAGCTATGCAACTTCTAGGATGTTTTATTTAATGGGTAGAACTAAACATCTTCCTAAATCTCATTGGCAATAGTAATATTTCATTACTTCACAGATTTGTCTATGTCATCCAACTTTCTTCCTAATATAGTATATAATTATGAGATTCTGCCTGTCTTCTATATTTTTATTGATTATTTTGTCATCTTTATATCAACTAAAGGATATATATCATGTTTAGGATTTTCTTCTAATATTTTGCAGGTAATGTACTCGAAAGCTGCCCAAGTTTACTAGTGCAGTTTCAGAACATAGAATGAAATTGCTCTGTACATTTCCTTAACTACAAGATAGGTACCTGTAAAATCGTCATTTCAGGTACAACAGATTAAATTTGTGTGCATG